TCGCATGCCTCTCCATCAGTAGTATCATCGGTTACACTGGAGGCGAACTCCAGTAAAAGAGCTGAATAGTTCAATGCCTGAATCATTTATTACCAACTGGGAAGGAGACCAAACACTTTACGGTAGAGGAGTGGTGAAACCCATCTACCTTCTATATGAGTTTGCCAGAACTGCACGTGAGCTTTTTTTATACGCAAGATCTGATACCAAAACACAGTAAAATATGTAGCGAAACCGGTCGTGGGTTGTCGAAGAATTCTCAGCAACCTTATGAGTAGTGTAGTACGTCTATACATGTATCGATTGTATTTATACTTTGATCTGGGAAGTTCAGAGATTATGAACAAAATTTCACATACGTCTAGCTTCTGACTGTCCCTATTCGAAACTACTCTGAGCCACGTGTATTCATATAAAAAGCCTACTGTTTTCATGTTCCCATTTCCGTTTGGCAGATTACTTTCACCTTCACTCTAAGTCTGAGTAGACCATCCCATATGATCCCCCAAGGCACTACAGTACAGCGGGGAAAGATTTTCGGACATTCCCTCAGAGATCTAGTCAGGTAAGTTTTCTTTCGGTCAGTACTTTTTCAACAGGACCAGTACTGATGGTCGCCTGAGATATTTTTCTTCAGTTTGATTTGTCTGAGAAATTTCACTACTTAAAAGAGTAAGTAGTCTATCGTTCACATTTAGCCTGTGTTGTTTGTTCATGTGTTGTTCAAAAACGCATCTGCTCTAGCCTTCAATTCCAAAATCGGCGTCAAATAAATGATGTTACTTACCATTAAAAAGAATACAAGAGGTGTTTTTCCCGTTGAGAATACACAACCTAACGTTATATCAAAGGGACTCACATTTGAGTTAGAGCGGCTAGCCGTTCCGATCTGTTTCCTACAATGCCGCAGTCCTACTGACGGGTTTACAAAACCAAGTATTCAGGAATCTTCAGACATTTCTGATCGTTTACATCATGTGGCTTGTTCGGCGAAGACCCACTGTAAACCCGTCAAGCTGAGTAACCTGTTCAACGCAATGAATTGCCTCGAAGCACACAAAACAGCTGTTCCATTCCATTACGCCGCTCTTGTTTTCGCGTTGCGGCCCCTAGTAACTGTCAGGACGCGCCCAGGCAGGAAAAAAGGCCATGTACAGAGAATGACGCATCGCCAAGGTCACCAGCGGTACGACACATCCGGAAAGTAGGTGAGTTGGCAGCTCACACCAAACACGGCTTAGAAACATACGATCAGCGTAGTGGGCCTGAAGGTGTTCACGACCGAAACACCGCCATTGGCTGTACAGAACGGACAAGTGAACGACCATATTTGGTCATTTAGTCATCCTATATATTAACGCAGACGCTCTGTATGTTTTGTCCTGACAATACAGCCATGTCGCGAGTTCTCTGTCTTCTCCTTATCCCGTAGTCTGGCAGGATGATTGCAGGCGTAACCAATAGATGGTCACCCACGATACAACAGTAAGAGATCATATCATAAATGCACACCCGACAGATGCTGTGCTGAGCACAATTTATTGATTTGCCTCGCTGAGCATGAGAACTAACTTCATGGATTATACGAGCCAGCAGATAAGCTGATCTCAGACAGCTGGTTACTGTGTATGACATCATTGCTCGTTTTAGTCAACGGAGCCTGAGCGGACTATTTAACCGTGGTAAGTTTCCAAAGCCACCATCTTCTCGGGTTGCATTCCGCGAGCTCTTGTCCAGGGGGACAGTGGGTAACCACCGACTTATTATCTACGGGAATTATGTAGGCCAGAGCACCCGTCATCGCTCAAACAGTTCATAGAATGAATTGGCAATATTCATGCTGGTATATACTTGTGGTAGGATCTTACACGGAATTGTGCAACTGATGAAATAATGCACGGTAACCTGCGCTGGAGCAATGAATCAATTTAAGCAATCCTCTCAGTGCCGCAAAGAACATTTGTCTTCTGTTTTTCCCTGAATCGCTACATTATTCCATCCCGCTTTCCTAAAATAGGCAAGCCTTCAAGACTCGTTTCTACACTTATCTGTCCACTTCTAAATGGTTCCGTAGTATACATGTGGTCAACAGTTTTTCGCCTTTTGACGGTGACAATATATGTTCGTATGGTCTTCTTACATCTTTATCATTCTCATAGCAGGTCTCCCGATCGGGTTCCGCGTTGTGAGTAACTTCACGTAAACAGTGGAACTTCCATCTGAGAAGTCATCACTCGGGGAACCAGTCAACACGTGATGTGGTTTACGCGACTGAAAGATGACCAGCAGTATGCCCTAAGTGCGAGTTAATCACACGGTCGATCAGCCACTGGCTAATTTTTCAAACTAATGATTGGAAGGTCGCAGTTTCGAAACATCCCGTAGAGTTTAGTGAGATGCTCGTTGGTGATGATCTCCAATAAAAATGAACAAAAAATAGCTATCCCACAAAACCCCAAAACTGCAAACAAAAAGTTGCCCAGTGGGTTTCAAGCGTGTGCCACGCTACCTGACTGGCAAGTCCTGATTGGCGAGTCAATCGATTGTCACAACCAGGACAGTTATAGGGTCGTCGTTCGATGAGTCAGACACACCAATCACATCGCTCAAGTGTGAACACGTTCGCTTGTTCAGACGTGAAAATTCAGATACGTCCAACGTGTGTTGGTAGAGAAGTGGTTACACGCTCGCCTCGCATGTCGGATGTCCCGGCACGGCTATTGGATATGCACTGCTGATGAGCCCTAATAGGAGCGAAACTCGAGTCCAGTGCTTCCCATTGGAGTGGACCCACCGGAATAATTACACCAGAACAGGAGGACGACCGCTCAAACGAGAGTAGTGTGACTATGAACAAAAATGAAGCATCTTTACAATGCCTCTTGGCTTTCCAGCGCAGATTAGACTCAGTTAGAGGATGAAAGCTCAGGTGAAACTTACCGAACTAGCCTGAAACTCTTAAAAAGAAGCCGTGTATCCAAAACCTGTTTACCTGCCTGGTGAATCCTAAAGAAGATGGAACGTTTGCCTTGTTCGAACATTTCACTACTCGACTAAGCGCCTTCACAGCTAACTCTTTTGGTCAACTGAAAGTCTCTGGTAAACTAATGTTCATTCCCTCACACATGACAGACGATTTTAGGATTGAATACCATAGAATATTTTGAACAAACAACTGTGCAACAAGGATTAAAGCAAAAGTGAGAAAATATCGTATGTCCTAGTTTGTCAACAAAACGTTTTCAAAACACTGCAACTGAGAAAAATGTGACTAAATGGTTATCACTTGCCCCAACTGTTTTAGGCCATCGCCAGGGCAGCTCACAAGACAAGTGGATGGTTCGAGTAGGCAGAGTGTTGTGTGAGTCAGCGACTATTTGCGGTGAATTATCATGAAACCAATAATGGCCGATTATGTTTATACATAAAAAATATACAACGATTCACTTTGGTCGATCGATACATGTTTCTCTCTTGGTCGAGCAAGCCTGGTTGTATCTGCCGTTTCCAAAATCCTATCATGATTAGTAAGTGAACGATCCTCAAGAAAACAAATATGCTCGGAATGCCTTGATCAACAGCTCGAAATGACAACGACAAGCACTGTAACAGGATAGACAGAAATCAGCTGATTCGCCCACCTCGTCAGCTGTTTACATGCTGTCAAGGTCACGAATATGGCAGGATAACGGACAAACAAGTCAGTGGAAACATTACCGTGAATAAAGTTCATCAGCACCCGGAACAGGCTGGATAAAGTTCTGAGGCCGGCCTAGCCATAAATTCCACTTGTTTACAGTAATTGGGTTTGTAGCGTCCAGTGTAATCGATGGTTATTCTTCTGACATTTGAACATTCCTTTTGCTTTTTTATGGAAAGTTTAAGGTCCAAACCTAATCCGACGTTTCTGTTGGCGTGGACAACATTTTCCAAGGATTTCTACAATCAGTTGAATACCAGTCAAGTGCCGGTTTATTTGAGTCCGCTAACATGTCCTCTGATTGGTGTATTCCTGAGATCAGTTGGCAGTCACGTGGGACCAGGTTAGATGCGTGCGTGTACGTCTGATTGTGCGAAATATGACTGGGAGATGCCTCCCACCATCAAGTGGCGAGCAGTTGCTCTGGATGGAATTCAAAGCTATTAAGTATCAACCTAGACGCACCAGTCTTTTGTTATCTCCCCCTGTGTATACCTTTTTCGACGTTCCCCTGGTAGCAAGCACGTCCGAAGAGCCGATAGACGACTGTCTACAAGAATTTCTCAGCACTTTCGAGAGAACTCAGTACTTAATAGCTTGAGAGTTCCGTCCAGCGCATTCCCTCACCACTTGCTGGATTGCATTGAGTACAAAAAACAAAGAGTTGTTCAGAGTCACAAATATCTGAGAAGCAACATTTGATTGCGCTCTGCCAGATGGACGCCACAAACCCAGTTTGTGTAAGTAGGTTAAATTTGTGAATAACCTCCCCCTTGCCTTGGTAGAACTTTGGATTCTGGGAAACCTGAATTACTGGGGCCGAAAAAGCGCTTCCTACATTCAAGTACTTGAGAAAAATTACTGAAACCGAATGAAGCAAGTAGGCTTAGTCCCTTGGAAGCGATTGAGAAGTCATCGTTTTGGGCAAAGTTTGAGAAACATTCGGCAGATTTGTTGCTGGGAAATGTTTCGCTTTTGACGCAAAAAACTTCGTCAAGCCAAATGACTAGTGTACGAGATTTTTTGAAGTTTAAGGCCTGACGAAGGTTTTTTATATCAAAAACAAAGCGGTGCCCGGCAATAAATCCACCGATTGCTTTTGAAACTTTTCCGAAAAGAATGGACCAACTTCTGGTCATTGGAGTAGGGCTGACATCATTGTGGGCGTAATTCAAGTACGAATAGTTTCTACTAGAACATAAGGTGGACGGAAGCTGGGCCAACCTGGTCATCCCCAGGAAGGGCGAAACTGGTCGTGGGCGGTTGAAGAGTCTTCAGAAAACTTATGAACGGTTTCCTCATAAAGAAATCATCTGTACGTTCGCATTTATGAATACACTAGACTATTAGTTTGACGGTCAGTGTTTGGCATCACAGAGACCACTCTAACGCATACTTTTGCCAGTCGTGATCCTGGCAAAAAAAGATCTATCCAGCTTCAAAGGGTCTATCTTCTGAGCGATGGAGTCCCTTAGAATGGTAACTCCAGAGGAATAAACCGTAATTGAATAAAGTACCGACAGTTTCTGGCGATGAATCAAAACCATGGATGTGTTTTTAGGCTCAATCTCAACTGTCCATTTCAGTAGGTCCAAGTGTCTCGGCGAAAAAAGGCCTCTCAAACGAAGTAAGGTACGGTTTTCTGTTTTATGAAACATCTGTGATATCCAAAGCACACGGAGAGGTCCTTGTTACAACGGATTTTTTCCAAACAGGTTACTTACAAACCATGTGAAAAAATCAACCTTGCCAGTTAGTTTTCATTAGGACGGTGAAACACATTATGCTTTCTAGAACTTCGGCCAACTATCAGCCAAGTGTCAAAGCGCAGCTAGCAAGCGCACCTCTGGTCTGCTCTTGCGTTTTTAAAGTTTCGAGTTGGGTACAATAAGACCCTCAAGCTGACTATCACAAAATGTCCTCTAAACTACTCTTGGCAAACATGGATCGTGAAAATAGACTGAAGGTGTCATGTTAACTGGTTTCGGTGACACTGAGAATCTAACTGGCGAAAGAGCGTTGAACACTTTGTATCCCGGGTTTGAAGATAAGGTTACTGAAGATCTCGGTGTTGGATATGTGAGTGCAGGTCATGTTGATGCGAACAAAGTTCAGTGTTAGCGGTGTTGTGGTCCGCAAATTCACACTATCTTCTGCTTCTTTCTAGCTCCCTTTTATTCAGCTGCAACAACTTTCAGTTCACTTCCGTTCCTGTTCGAGTTTCATTCTCCTTGTCTGTTTTTAAGCGCGGCGATTTAGGACACTTCAGTCCATGGGCACCTACCACATCGATCAGAACGAGCCCGCTGTGCGGGTCAGAAGATGTCTCTCAGTGACTTGCGTCATTGCATAAAAGTACACCGTTAATTTATTGGTCGGTAGAATTCGTGTGCTGACTAATACACGCAAGATAATTTCTTGTCTATTGTTACATGTAATCACTTTCTAGCAGTTACATCTTGATTGTTTCTACGGAACACCATTCTCTTCAGGCGAGATTACGATATGAGTGGCGAGAAAAGCCAAGCTGGATACAAACCAAGAGTTCCCAAACTCGTCCTAGCCTGCACGGATGAGGTCTCCCGCCGAGGATTACGAGAAGTTGGCATTTATCGAATTTGTGGCTCCAACAACGAAATTCAAGCGCTCAAAGACATTTTCGATCAAGGTTGGTTAAACTCCGGCAGACTGATTTTTAAATGAAACGAG